TTAAGCTTTGAATCTTGTGATTTTTCTTGTAAACCATATCGTCCATAGCAAAACGGGAAATCTGCCCTTACTTGGGTTTGCCCTGGAAGCAGCGTCTACATGGGGATTACCATTTTCGGATGTGTAAATATCCCGCTGGTGTGAAATCTTCCTCATGCCAGCGTCCACAGTAGATGAGGTGTATTCTCACCGAGTGATGTGTGTTAACCCCGGCGCTTGTACCAATTCAATTTATGCTTCGGCTGCCAGGCGTGCAAAGCTCCGATAGGATTGATGCCATGAATAAGACTTCCCTGGTCCTACATGGGTTGGTAGCCGGCAAGAGAATCTTTCGTTGTGGCCGGTAATCCGAGGCCGCGAAGAGGCTGCAGTTCGGAGTCGCATCTCAGCTTGAAGTGTCACAGGCGAAGGCAAACGTATAATCGGTGCCTGGAGTCCGGTCATTATGGAGGAAAGGCTCAGCCCTTGTGGTGCACCCTCCTATTTTGGCTGCAGTTGAAGCAAAAGAGATGTTCTTTGTTCGGCCGTACTGCAAGCTCGACTTGTCACAGAGCGCTCCATCTCGAAAGCCCGAGCAGTTGGTGTACTTTGAAGCTGGTCAGTTTGTCATTTTACACAGAGGTAGGGTAAGACAAGGACAGATTAGGCACAGCACCTTTGTATACCTTTGTTCTGGAAAACTAGAGCAGTTGCTGATCGCCTTCAAGGCTCCCAACCGCCCACGAGAACCGAAAGCCCAAGGCCTGGCTCAGGCCGGCTTTTCCAAATGCGATCGCACAGTACAACCTGCTAGTGCTCAGTCTGCTCGCCTTTGCAGGATATTCTTCAAATACGCGTAACAGACCGGCACTCCGCAAGCCAGAGGGACCGAGCCTTGCATGGCAGGGACTGAGCGGGCAGCATCGCTGCGGCCGCCAACCCAAACCCAGCCTGCAGGCAAGGAGAGCGGGAACATCAGGACATATTACGACTCCTGGATACCTGCAACAGCAGCTCAGAGATCTACCAACTTGGGAACCCAAAACGCCTGCTGAAAGTAGCCCTATAAAGCTTGAGACAGGGAGTATGCAACCTCAGCCACATCAATCTGGATGACGTAGGTGCTTTTCCAGACAACGTGAGAGCCAGGGAATGATATGGACAAAGGTTGCGCAAGTTCACGCCTGTGCGTTGTCCTGACTATTGGTTTGTCGCGGGGTTTTCTTTGGAGGCGCAAAGCTGACAGCGGCGGCTGAACTGGTGCGAGACGCAGGGCATTCCAGAGGCCCGGGCGGGCTAAGACTGGTTGGTCGGTTTCGTGTGGGAAGACTCCAGGCCCGGCGCTGGCAGCAAAGCCTGCTGATGCTGTGGCTACAGGCCTGTGAGATGCTTATAGTTAGACTCGAGTTTCTGCTTGTCGCATCCTTGGCTCTGACCTATGACGCATCTCTCCTTAATCATGTTGTGAGAAGATGTGAGAAGGCCGCCCAGAGCTTGCGGTCACCACCCACAGCACTCAAGTTGGCAGCTCCGACAGTGCCCGCGCTGAATTAGACCAGATACGACAACTGTCGGATGGCGGCGCTTAAGCCGTGTGTGTTGCAGGCAAGGGAAGTGTAGCACATTTGCGGCCAGAGGATATAGACGATGAAAGTCCATCTGCTGCGAATCCAACATACCTATTCAAACCTAGGTAATGCATGTAGAAAAGCCAAGAAGCCAGAAGGCACTGGCAAGCGCTGCAAGCCATCGGCATAGAAGCTCTCAAGAATGAGTTGCTTGCTAACATCCTCAACTACAAATATCAATAATTCGCAAAGCTCCAGGCTCGCCACCAGCCTACAACTGGGGAGTCGCCAGCCTCAAGTGCTTTCTGCCATTCTGTTCGAATACTGTGATTGGCATCGGTACATGGCAGCTTGCAAAGTCTGTTGCGGTGTGCTCCAATGTTAAGGACACTGCTTGGAGTCCGGGATGGCAGGAGGCCAAGCTTTTGGACTCTCAAAACAACAAGCTGCTCACAGCTTTCAACTGCGCCTGCCCGATATCAGGTCAAGCTGGTCTTGGTCCTGGAATGGGTGGGGCAGTCGCAGCGGCTGGCCACTCGACGGAAGCCTTTGTCAAACAGAAAACAGCACGCAAGCCAATTGCATGTAGAGTGCCTCTGTTTCCTGGATGGCTCGGGCTACCGTATTCCTGAAATTTAGATCAAAACACTACAGCCTTGGGGAGAGTCTTGGCTTCAGAGAGCCTTGTAACCCAGAGCGAATGGGGTCGGGTAGTGGCAGTGGCCGCAAGTTTGGCGTTGATCACAGATGCTCGGCGGGCTCGTACTGCAAAAAATATCGCACCTGTCACGTGCCCACGAGAGACCGCATCTAAACCGCTTCATTCGAGCCCTGCACCCCAAGGTAAGCAAGCATTGCATTGCTTGAGCAGCTTAGATGAAGCAAGCATCGATTCTGGGAAGACGGCCCGCTAAGGGTGCAAAAAAGCGCACTTGCTGGGCCTTGCAGTGCCTTGCTGTAAGTGTTGGCCAGCCAGGTTGTTTGCAAGAGGGAGAGCGCTAGGGCCAAAGAGGCCGCCACCATTTCAGGTCTACTTCCACATTTAAAGGCTCTTGGCTTTGCAGAACCCAGGTTGCATGGCATCCGTGATTGGAGGGACGGGACCTGCTAGAAGTGAGAAGGACACGCAGTCAAAAAGGCGTAAAAGATCGTACAGGACATCTTTGTTGAGGATGCTCCTTACAAGTCAGGTGCGCGCTGTAACCCACGTGCTGCTTCGTTGTGACATGTCGTAACACGGTACAGCTTTTGGTCGCGCTTTCAGGACGTGAGTCCTAGCTCTTCAGGACTCTACGAGACGAGACAGCAAGCGACAAACTCTCTCAGCCCAGGGTAGCCCGGAGGGGTGAGCTCGTAATATGATATCCAGCTTGCTGTAGTTTGACAAGGTTCAGCTAACCCTCCTCCCACCCCAAGACGTTCATACAAGCACCCCCGCACCAACACAGTCGCTCCTGTTTGGTCATCGGCTCTGCCTGCCTTGAAATGCCCACCTTCGCAACCAGGCTGTGGGTGTTCGTCAAACTTGGGTTCAAACTAGCCCTTGTTGGGTTCGTCTAACTTCGTTACAACCAGTCTTCAAGCCATCGTCTTGGGGACGGGGGTCTGCTAACTTCGCCTGATGCCTCTTGTCGCCTTCCGAATGGGCTGCCGCCCTCTGGGCGCCCCTTGTCAGCTGAGCTTTTCTGCAGCGGGCTTTTGTTGCACATTCAGCGCATGGTTGCGCTCTGATGACGGGGTGGCATGTCGGTGTGGTCCTGGCAGTCTGCTAGTCAGGGACGATGTCTGAGTGGTTGCCCCTTGCTGCCTCATTTAGGGAGGCCGTTTTGACAGCCTCTTCGAAAGGAGATGAAAGAAGATAGCGGTCAAAGAAAAGGTTTCACGGAAGTGCGATGCGGGCGCGGGACCGGAGAGTGAAATCGCTGATGCAACCAGCAGTTCGAAAAAGCTGTCGGACGTGTAGTGGTGACGGAGTTTGCTTCGGCTGATCAAGGTGTACGGGAAAGGCTTTTCCAGCTTGGTCGAAACCCGCAAACTCTTGCACAGATATTAATATGGGCAGGTAGCAGTGTCAGTTGGGTCCAGGCGTGAAAGATTTCAGGAATGAGGGGATAGGAAGCTGGTCGAGATCTTAGCAGCAGACATGGCGGATGAGGTGATAATGGGGTTCCCTGCGAAGGAGGACAACATGACCGAGATCAAAACTCCCCGAAAGGAAAGAAGACGGCGAGCGGCAGAAAGGAAGCTGCCGCAAGCAAAACCTGGCGTGCGTAAGCTACTCTAACTTAAACGGCACTCCCATGCTTCGCCATAAGCATCGGAAGCTGGAATCCGAGGGTTGTTTTCTTCAAGCACCGTGAGATACTGCAAGCGCCGTAAGCGTTCTATCAAAAAGGGCCATCGTGAGCCAAAGCCTGGGTTTCGTAAACTGCCATAAGCAAAGTTTTTACTGTGAAAGAAAGCACTGGAGGTTTCGATGCCTGCCCAAATGGGCTTGTTTTCTGACATTCTCATTGGCGTGGCCAGCGCTTGCTCTTTTCCAAGCTGTCTATGTTGTCCTCCCAAAGCTTTATACCCGGTTGTCTCTTTTTCGCCTACCAACTTGGTCTCCTGCAAAAACCCGTTCTTAGCGATTGTAGTCGAATTAACAACGCCCTCAGCCTTAGCCCGCGTAATTTCTAGAAATCTGCGGGTTTGAATGTAGAGTGTTGTGGGTCTCGAGTCGAACATCGTGACGGTGCCGATTCCTCCACAGCCGGTGGGTAACGCCTTGTCTGCAGGTTAGGGGGAGTTGCATGTGATGCGATGATGTTTGCGCAGCATGTTGTGGCTGCACTCTCCTTTCCACACCTTTCTGTTCATGTTTCGCAGTAAGTGGGTCAAAACTCACCAGGAAGCAGATTGAGCTTCGGACACATACAGGATCGTATTGTACCAACGGCATGTTGACACTGTATGCCGCTATATTGCTCTACTCGCTCCACAACCAATTTACATGGGTTTCGAGATGCGCTGTCCGCTGGTAACTGTAGGCAGGCATTTGTCAAAGCGCCATGGCTTAGCATCCTCATGCGCTCATGACCGCATTTGCCGTGCTTCCTGCGACGGCAGCAAAAGTAAGTCCACAAGTGCCGAAGAGTGAGCCTGTACGTTTGCACCTCGGTCGACGATTGGATTCATAGTGGCGCAATCGCGTCGAGTTCCCCGTGGCCCTGTCAAGTCAGGGGTGGAACAGCAGAGCGGAGGTTTAGCGTTGATTTCTGAAGTGACCAGGGCCATTACGGTACGGTATGAGGTATCAGAAGCCTTGTGCGCAAAGTATCTATGCACAGTTGCAGGCCGGTTGCTGACGATGCGCCAGTTCGTCCACAACGTGCATATGGTGCAGTGGAGCTTTGCTTGCCTACGCCGCGCCACACACTGGTTGCATCGCTCCTTGTCATGCTTTTCCTTGCAGCAGGCTGGGACTCCATCATCCTAGAGTCTTAGAGCACACTTTGTTTGTCGTGACTTGCAGGTGGGTTCACAGTGAAGAGATTTGCATAAGAGCATGGCAGCTTGGGAGTAGGTACTTATCATGCGCCTCCAAATATTTTCCCTGAGGCCTGATAATCTTAGCAGCATCAGAGCAAGGACTACCAGGCTGGATAGCTTGGGCCTGACAGGAATCAGAGTTTCTGTCCAGAATCTGACTGTAGTAGCATGCTTCTCCAACCTCGACGTGCCCTTGCTGGTGTGCCCAAAACCAGGGGCTTGGTCCTGCTTTTGCGCTGCCTGGGTTGGTTGTTCCTCTATTTGATCCCAGTGCACAGCACGGCGATTGCAAACATGCGCGGCTTCGTGATGCATGCTATGGTCCCTGGTGACAGTGTGCTTGTATACAACAGGACCACGGATCCTGCACCGCGCAGAAATGATTAGCCAAACATATCCCCTTGTAGCATCGACGTAGTTGCCGAGTTGCACCATCATTTGTTAGGCTGCTGTGTGGAAGCTTTGCAGGTCCCTCAAGAAATGTTTGACAGGGACTGACATTGCAGAGGCAGAGAGTGGAATCACAGGCTGCAAGACTAGCAATCGGTCTGAGGTTAAGCACGTTTGAGACCTATGTAAAGTGAGAGCACCGTACGAGGTCCACACTGCTTTCCTCCTGGGACCCCTGAGGACAGCTTTGGGTCCAACTCTGAGCATGGAATATGCCAAAGAGCACGGGCATGGTATCAGGAAAGCATGGCCACTTGGCTCTCAGCAAAGTAAGATCTGGTGGAGAGTTGGACAGGAAGTGCTTCATGTCCAGTGTTTTTGAGGTGCAATGCGAGAGGGCCTCTTGAATCAAACAATCATCGACATATCTTTAATAGTTGGCCCTGTGCTTAGCTTAGGCTTAGCACAGACTCAGTAGACGGAAGTCTGATTCGCGCATGTACTTGTAAGAAGGTAGGAATATCAGAAATAGCATTGGCAGGTTAGGCGTTGGGCTGTACGAATTCTGGGGCCCTTTCTGACCATGTAAACGTTGAACGGTCTGCAAAAAAAGGGGAAGGGTCGTACTTCGAGGGTGCGGTTCGGCTAAGAGAAAGGTGGCAACATCTGGAACCAAATCCAAATCCTTGTCCAGAGAGTGCAATTGGCACTTTGCGGCTGTTACCACTTTGCTGTACGCTCGGGAGATGGGACAAGAGCAGCTTTAGGTCGAAAGATGGCTTAAGGTCAAGGGATAGGGTTGGGCAAGTATTTATTGTCATGGATTGCTGACTGTTGGCTGGCCATTGCTCCCGAATAGTTGTAGTTAGTCATAAGCGTCTCAGAGTTCTAGCTCCTGTAAAGTTGTTTTTGTCTTGTGCCGCAGAGTGAGAGTCGTCGTTGTCGTCCTTGAGCTGCCTCTCGAATGTGTGTGACTTTTCGGTCTTTGCTCTGTCTTTCACCCCCAAGACTGTAGTGTTAAGGCAATGGGGCCCACACAGCCTGTTACCCACCCTGAAAAGTGAAGAACGTGGTGATATTTCGAGGGGCGCATGCTGCTCACAGCGGTACTAGAAATCGTCAGATGCAGCCAACAGCTCAAACCCCATGACCACCGCGGCACGGATCACCCGCCCATGCGCTGCGGCGCCACGACTCGCTTGTAGCTTTGACCAGGTACGGGGCCATTATGATGTATCTCCTCCTGCTTGCGGTGTACTCATCGTTCTTTTGCATCTACCTCGGGGAGGTTGCTTGACTGAATGAACACTGGAAGCGCGGAGAGGCGAGCAGACCGTTCAGTGTAGCGGCTGCCGGGTAATGATTTCTTGTGGCAGCTGCCACCGCTTGCCCTCTTCCCCTTATTGCGGCTCTTGAAAGTTCAGGTTTGAGTTGTGTGGCGTGACAGCTTATGGCAACAGATAAGGGCTTGCAAGTATGGAGATCAATGCCACAGAAAGCATCATGCACACGAGCTGACATAATGCGGCTGATGAAAGCATACACGCGCTTGTCCAGGAGTATGAGCATCCGGGCTTCATACTGGCCTATGGACTGGGACACATTCTTATCATCATCTGTGGCGAGGCCCTTCGTTTCATGTGTGTGTGCGCAGTTCATCAACTTACGTGACTTAAGCATCTTGTACTTGAATTTCAATGTCATGCAGGCGGATGAAAAGTATGCCTCGCAGCACGGCACAAATCCAAGTTTCTGAGCTTTGTTGTCCACCGAGTTGCCGCAAGACGCCGCAATAATGCCCAAGGAAGATGGGCCCTTGCACTTTGGCGCCAGCCATAGTTCCTCGGCTGTCGGTGCTAAATGTTGATTATTCGAGGCTTCTTGTCTTTGAAGACCTGACATGTTGTCATGCAAGCGCCTTTC